CGCCGAGGACACATGTCGAACGTTCAATGCCTTGGGGGCTATTTAGGCCGATGACACAGTTACCAAGAACTCCGAGGCACACACGCCAAGGACATGTGTCACTCCATAGAGAATCCGAGACTGTCATGCCAAGGGCACGTGTTATCCCCCCATCAATCTCTGAATATATTCTATCATATGCCTAAAGGACACAAACATATCTAATTATTGGATTTTTTTCACACACGAGTTATTATTCAAGACACTGATGAATATATGAGCATGTCCTTATGGTTATGGGATAATTTTGATAATGGCTTTCTTTATGTGATTGCTTCTTATAGACAATGTTAATCAATTAATTCATATTTGAATTATTTTAGTTTGTTTTGGTTATAAGCAGAAAGTGATGAAAACTAGGTGACACAAATGAAGTCTCTTATTTTTGGGTCCTTCTTTTGTTTCACCAATTGTGGTCATGACGGATTTAGAGACTTAATATAGAATCATACTAGGTTAGGTGTTCTAGTAGCAACACTAGTTTGAGTAAGATTGGAAAAAAAAAACTGAAAGTAGAACTATAAACCAAACTGGAGATGTCTTTCACATTAAGTCTCAATTGTATAAAAAATCATATGTAGAGAAGCTTAATACTAGCAAGTGTATAAATATGGTTATATCTTGGTTGTATGGTTTCTTTTACCAATAACAAGGTGGAACTAATATCTAGAGCACTTATTATTTTGAAGTGTTAACTTTTAAATCTATACATGATTTATGCAGAGTATGGTGTTCTAGTTTTAGTTCATGTGTCTTTTTCTTAGAATGCCTTTGTCTATAACCTTTGGAGGTAGTTTAAATTTATACTGTGGAGACTTTCGTGATATTTAAATATGTGAGAAATACATAATAAAAGAATCATTTTAAGTTTGAAAATCCTAATTAAACATATATAGAATTAATTTTCTGTGTGAACATAGTTGAATGATTTCAATTGGTCCAAAGTAACTATTGGTGACTATACGGGGTGATTTTAGCAAAATGAATAAGGTAACAGATCTTTCCTTTAGTGAACTCAAGCTTGCCTAGAAAATCGAATGTCCCTTAGTGATTGGAATGCAATGAGGTGTAATGAAACCCTTTGTGAATGACTTGTCTGCTTAGGAACCCTCGAACGATGTCCTGTAACTCAAAAAGAAAGGTTAGAAGGCCGCCGAAGTGTTTTCTGAAGTGACCCCTTTGACAATCAAGTCAGATTTGAAAGAGGGTTTGGAAAACACTACTCTATTATTTTTTGGGTAAGGGTTTGCGTATCTTAGACTTGAGTTTGAGAGTGTTATTTATACGTCCTCGGAGTAAATTGTTGCAAACAGTTGGGTCCCTTGGAGGGAAGACTCCCAATTGGCTCGCTTGAAAGGCAACATGTGGGGCTTAGACCTTGACCAGAGTGCCTTTCTTTTCACATGGTAGAAGCTTCTGCATTTAATGCTCGGATCCCTGAGCATTTAATGCTCGCTCTTCTGACTTTGTCAAGCAATAAATATGTCTTATCTTTCTGCGGGGTCATTTAATGTGCCCCAGGTTATGGCTATGCAAGATTATTTCCATCCACCACCCCCCAAAGGGTGAGGAATTACTTGCCTTGTACACTTTGCATCTTCCTCATTGGCTGGTGAACCGTCTTTCAAATAGTTATGGCTACCTTGGGAAGGGTGATTGATAATAGATAGCCAACCCCATTCCTAAGTAACGATGCACCGCTTTGCCTCGAACGTGGGTATGCTTGCATCAACTGACCTCCCTTTTGCCTTTGGGAATCTAATCATCACCATTTGGCAAGAAATAGACGTCAAAATAGCTACTCATGTTTTGACGGAGAGAATGACTCTTTGACGAGGACATGTGTCAAATAGAGAGTGCTCCAAGAGACTTTTGTGCCAAGGACACGGAAGTAGAGAATGCTCCATCTGACCATAATGCCGAGGACATGTGTCAACCAGAGAGTGCTCCATGGGACCTTATTGCCAAGGACATGTGTCAAGTAGAGGGTACTCTTGGGGATCTTAGTGCCGAGGACACGTGTCAAGCAAAAAGTGCTCTTAGGGACCACAGTGCCGAGGACATGTGTCAAGAAGAGAGTACTCCATGGGACCTTTATGCTGAGGATACATGTCAAGCAGAGAGTGCTCTTAAGGACCATAGCGTCGAGGACATGTGTCGAGCAAAGAGTACTCCATGGACCTTTGTGCCAAGGACACATGTCAAGCAGAGAATGCTCCATGGGATCATAGTGTCGAGGACACTTGTTAAGCAGAGAGTGCTCCATGAGACCTTATTTGCAGAGGACACATGTCGTCTCCCCATTCAATCTTTAAAAATTTCCATCAACTACCCCCAGCCCTTGATCTTTGTATAAACTGTATGACGTGGAGGAGGAAGATGAAAGGGCTTGAGCCTCCTATTTTTTCATGCAACAGCTTTCCTGCCTTCAGGTTTTATGTCACATTAAATGCATCTCTTCGTTTATCATGGACAATGGTGACTCTTGGCCCTATTTAAATAAAGTCTTGTCCTCCTCCTTCCATTTTTTGCAAGCCTTTTGATTTCAAGAGCCTTTCGCCAGGGTTCTTGTTTGAGAGGCAACAGTACATCGGAAAGCCACCAGTTTCCTTGATTCCACCAGAGAAGAACACAGACCATCACTTCTTCTCCCCTTCAAAGCCCTGTTTCTGGTGAGACCTACTCTTCATTTCTCTCTGAGCTTTAGTCAAACTCATAGGTGAGTAACTACCTTCTTTCCCCTTTTCTTGGTGATCATCCCTTTTTTGCCTCTCTTAATCCAACCTCTAGAATCCCACTTTTGAGTCCCCTCCTGTCTCTCTATGACGAGACGTTGTTAAAGTACCCTTGCTAACGCCAATGAGCCTGGTTCCTCTAGGTAGAGAAAATACTCAATTAAGGGTTTTCAAAAGATTACTAACTTTAAGGCCCATCCTTCAATCCCCCTCGGGGTGACTGTTAATGAGTTCGTACCAGGACTCCACCGTGCCGACATCGGCACCGAGGTGGCCATGTCCTTTTTTACCAAAACCATCATAGAGGGTGGCAATAGGTTTCCCCTTCACCCAATTCTTCTTCGCTTCTTGTCCCGATTCTATCTTTTTTTGGGGCATTGTTACTTGTACACTTTTAGGATCATTTTGGGGGTGGTCGCCTTGAACGAGCATCTTCAAGTCAACCTCAGCTTGGAAGATATCCTCTTTTGTTACACCTTAATGAGGGTGATGCCTTAACAAAAGTTCTACCTCAAAGCCCGAGACCCACCCATGTACCTCGTGACACACCTGTTGAACTCCAACAAGGAGTACAAGGATGACCTGCTCATCTTCACTGGTCAATGGGAGAGAGGAGTCGGCCCCGAGTACGTCAATTTGTGGTGTCCCAAGCAATGGCAGACTACGAGTATGTCGGCTTTTCTCTCTCTTCAGCTGATAATACCTCGGCATCTCGATATCTTGTCTCTAACATTTCTAATCTTTATTTTTTTAGGAGTTATCAATGCCAAGTCTGCCCCTCCTCGAAATCTTGTCCACCTTCCTGTCCTCTTTACCTTATGGGGATTCGTGGGCAATGATTTTGGTCGAGCTGCACACGTATTGTTGGACTGTACTTTGGAGTATAGTAACTTCTCTCAGACCCCCCCAAGAATTTGATCCAACGAGGTGGAGGGAACTAACCTGCAAAAATTTGGAGGGTGACCCTGATTGAGCCGCTGACGCCAAGGTAGAGAGAGCCCAAGCCACTACTGTTGACACCGAGGTAGATAGAGTGTCATTCACCACTGTTCATGCTGAGGCGACTAGGCTTGCCATGACTAACCCACCTCGTCTCAAACTAGACGTCATCAAAGCCAAAGCAACCCTCACCACCGATCAGGGACATGGGTCGAGATCCTAGGACGCTCTTTCTAACCAGGGGCATCGCCCTTCCGAAGTGGTGATCCCAAGGGTGAACTCGCCAATGGGGCCTCCTCCAATCGATGCTCTAGTGGCACCAACGCCACCTGGCCTTGGCCGTGTCCAGGGTAGAGATCCTCATGATAAGGAGAGAAAAATAAATTAAACGCATGATAGGGCTAGCCACAGTAGAGGTGCCCATTCTCCCATATCGACGTCGACGCCTCTTAGTGGTTAGACTAGACAAGTTGCTCTTTTTGCCCCAGAATGACATGCTAGGGCTAAGATTATAACAACGATTCGATCTGGGTGTCCGAATTAATTGTTGCCTTTCCTCATGTTGCATATGCTGTGAATGAAACCCTCTAATTTAATGTCGTAATAGAGGTCCATCGGGCATCTAGGAGCAACCACTATTTCCCTCCCTCTCACAGAATTCTTTGGTGGTAAGGTTATGACACTGTGTGAAGTTTTGATTTTTTGTGAGTTCTATTGCACTTAATTTCCCTTCATTCGTCTTTCCAGGCAGCACAATAGGTTATCGTCATCATGGAGCATTTCCACACTCATCGGGCTAAGGTGTAGGAATGCAAAAGGCTCGACACTGACCTTAGGAAAACCTGCGTGGAGCTTACTGCTACCAAGGAGGAGGTGGCTGCTCAAGACAAGACACTGGATGCTCAAGGAGCCCAGATTGTCGAGCTATTTAAGGAAGGTCAAAATGCCAAGGCAGAAACTGATAAGATCAAGGCCCTGTTCACTGACGTCAAGAAGATGATGACCAAGGCTGCGAAGCTGGCATCTACAATCGAGGCAAAGGTGGCTGAGTTGGAGCAGACTTATGGCTCCTTCACTCAAGAGTTAGACACAATGAGGTCTAAGCTCAAGGCCAGGAGTCTGCCGACGGAGGAAAGAGTTAATTGTTGCGTTGACGACATAGTGGTGGCGTTCAAGGAGGCAAAAAGGAAATTCTTCAAGACTGGATGGGACGAGGCACTTTGGGCCGCTGGGGTCCCTACTGAGTTTTTGTTCTTTAAAGAACATGAATACTCTCCCTTTGCCGAGATGGAGCACGCGACGGTCAAGATTCTTGACGAGAATGCCAAGGTTGCTCTACACCCAGATCAAAGCTTACCAATCGAGATTGCTACCTCTATTCTAGTCCCTCAGCCTGAAGCTGCTCCTACTCCTGTCAGTGCCACTCCTACTGCTATAGCCGATGTCATCCCTATTCTTTTTTACATCGTTCCTACCCCTCAAGGTGAAGCATCTTATGCTTATGCTGATGTCGCTCTTGCTCCTCATAGCACAGACTCTTACTCTACTTGTATCGACGAGCTTTTTGACGACATTGGCGATGGTATCGGAGGCGATGTCAATGGTCCCCCTTAGAGCTTGTTTCTTTTCCCTTATAACTTAGGTCTATTTTGGTAGCTTGAGGGACAAAAAACCCTTTTCTTTTTGGAATGTAGTAATGCTCTCTCTTTGCTAAGTGTTTTGCTTTTGGTTTTTCTTTCTTTTCGAGATCACGTCTCCCCCGGAAGTCGAGATCCCATCCTTCTCAATTACGGGGAAGGCCTGGGATTCTCCCTTCTACTCTGTTTGAATCGATGAGTTTCTTATGGTAACCTCATATCCAAGGCGTCATTTCTCATGTCGGGCATTGGTGCACTCAGTGGTCTTGGACCCATGACTTTATACTTTTCCAAGAGTTTTAAACACTCTTGTTTCGGGGCCATGTCCCCTCCACAGGGCTTTGCGCCTTGGGTTCCTTGGGGTTTGTTGTCCCTCAGGGGCCCATATTCCCAACTGTCCAAATCAAGGGAAAGATCTGGGACTCCCCTTCTTCTCGGGGTTGCAGCTTTCCTAGAGGCCCTATTTCCTTGGCCTCCTTTGGGGGCACGTATTTTCTTAAGTTTTTACCCCCAGGGCATGCCCCATTTAGGATAGTTTTTGCTCTTTGTATTTCTTTTGGGGGTAAGAGTTTTTCTAAAGGCTTTGCCCTCAGGGCCATACCCTTTCCAGGAGGCATTATTCCTTTTGTTTTTTGGGGGGCAAGAGTCTATTTAATGTCTTTGCCCCTGGGCCATGCCCCTCTAAGAGACTCTTCTCCTTAGGTCTCTTTGGGGGCAAGAGTCTATTTAATGTCTTTGCCCCCGGAGCTATGCCCCCTCGGGAAGTTTCATTCCTTTATATCCTTTGACAGTGAGGATGGCATGCGCGCCTCTCTTCCGGCGTTAGGCCCCTTCCCAGACAATATACTTAGCCAAAATGTGTTTTTTCTATCAGAAGTAGTACTTTTTTATATTCATTACATTCCAAGGCCAAAATATAGCTTTTCTTTCCATATCCTCTAGTTTGTATGATCCGGAACTTCCTACTAACACGACTTTATATGGTCCCTCCTAGTTAGGTCCCATCTTCTTCCCATCGGCCGGGTCGCGGGTGTTCCCGACTTCCCTTCTAAGCACTAGGTCGCCTACTTGAAATTTTTGTGGGTTCACTCTTTTTTTATAGACTTTGGACACCCCTGCTTGGTATTTTGCTAATCGCAAGGCAACCATTTCTCTTCTTTCCTCCTCGAGATCCATGTCCAAGCTGAGTTGTTGATCACTCTCTGCCGTATCAAAAGCTTGTATTCTTATTGTGGGGAGACCAACTTCCAATGTGATAACTTCTTCTACTATGTAAGCGAGGCATAAGGTTTCTCGCCCGTTGGGGTCTGCAGAGTCATCTTGTAAGACCAAAGGACATTTAGGAGCTCCTCCACCCATTTTCCCTTAGTTTTCTCCAGTTTTTTCTTAATTCCGTCAATGATAGTCTTGTTTGAAGACTCTGCTTATCCATTAGCTTAAGGGTACAAAGGCGTGGAGTAGTAATTTCAAGTTCCAAGATGCTTGCAAAAAGATTTGAAAAGCCTGTTGTTGGACTGCATCCCGTTATCTGATACAAGTGCACAAGGTACCTCGAATCCTGTTACTATGTTCTTCCATACAAATTTTTTTGGTATTCACATCCCTGATGTGCATTAATGACTCAGCTTCAACCCATTTCGTGAAGTAATTGGTCCTGACTATTAAGAACCTCTTATTCCTGGGGCCTTTGAAAGGGGTCGGACCAAGTCAAGTCTGCACTAAACGAATAGCCAAGAGTTGGTTAGTGGGTGCAAATCTTTTGTCAGCTGCTTGATGGCGAGGGCAAACTTTTGACATTGGTCACATTTTTGAACTTAAGCTTGTGCATCCCTCTGCATCTGCAGCCACCAACCTTGTAACATAACTCAATGGGCCATGGACCTTTCACCCGAGTACCCCCCACATATGCCTTTATGTACTTCATATGGGAGGGGTTCGACTTTATCTTCGTGGATGCAAAGTAGATAGGGTCCTGAAAAAGATTTTTTGTACAATTTCTGATCCGGTAAGACCCATAATCTTGGGGCTTTTAGTTTTATCTTCCTAGCCTTCTTGGGGCATCACGAGATTTCATTAGATACAAGGAATTTAAAGAGAGGATCAATCTAGCTAGGGGCTCTCCCTCCTTCTAAATGACGAACACTCATAGAACATCGTCTATGTTGGAGTTGGGAAGATACTCCACTATGATTCTCCGTGTCATGTCGGAGTCAAATGCTGAGGCCAGGTATGCCATTGCGTCGGCGTGATAATTCTTCTCTCGAGGGACCTAATTAACTTCTACTTTCCTGGACTTTTGGAGTAAATTCATAACCCTAAGGTGATATGCCTTAATCCTTGGATCCCTTGCTACAAACTCCCCATTGATCTAGTTAACCACCAATAAAGAGTTACAAAGGACTGACAATGCCGCGGCCCCAGCCGCATTGGCAAATTTTAGACCTGAGATGAGGGCTTTGTGCTCAGCCTCGTTGTTGGATGCTTTGAAACCCAACCACACAGCCTGCTTCATGACCAATCCATCTGGGGTGACCAATAACACTCATATTTTAGATCCCTAGCTGTTGGAAGATCCAACCACGCACAACTTCCATGAGTCCGTCGATAGTTCTTCCTCCGGAGGAAGTGGCTCCCTTTGTGTAAACTCGGCAATGAAATCTGCTAGTACCTGAACTTTTATTCCTATGCTGGGCCAATATAGATGTCATGTTCGCCCAACTCCATTGCCTATTTTGTTATCCTCCCGAAAAGGTCCGTCTTCTTCAAGACAGTGATGGGTTGTGCTTGGAAATAATGCCTCAACTTTCGTGTAGTCGTGACTAGTGCTAGTGCTAGTGCTATTTTTCTAGAGGTAGGTTTCTCATATCTAGGTCCAAGAGAGCCTTACTCACATAGTAGACCGGACAATGTCCATGCTCGTGCTCATAGACTAGTACACCACTGACGGTGAACTCAAAAACAACCAGGTAGGTAAATAACATCTCTCCTCTCTCTAGGACCAACAAGGTCGGGAGGACCCTAAGATACTCATTGATCCTTCTAAGTGCCCTTTTGCATTCCTCACTCCAAGTGTTCTTTCCAGACCTTTAGACTGCACCAAAGAAAGACCTGCAGTTGTCTGACGACCAATATATGAAACGGTTCAAGGCGGCCAACATCCTCGTAAGTTTTTGGACGTCTCAAATAGTCCGGGGGCTGCACACATCCATGATAGTTTGTATCTACTCTGGGTTGGCCTCGACGCCACGCTGACTCACCAAGTACCCCAGGAACTTTCCTGAGTTGACCCCAAAAGAACACTTAGTCGCATTTAGCTTTAGGTCGTACTTACGGAGACTGGCGAAGGCATCCTCCAGGTCCGTGATATGGTCACCTCGATGCTTGCTCTTAACTAGCATATAATTGATGTACACTTCCATGTTATTCCCCATTTGTCGCCTGAACATTCGGTTCATGAACCTTTGGTATGTATCACCCACGTTCTTTAGTCCAAACGGTATGACCTTTTAACAGTAGACCCCTTTGGAGTAATGAAGACAGTCTGCTCTTGATCAGATGGATGGAGGGTGATCTGGTGGTAACTGGCTCGAGCATCCATGAAGGTTATTCACTCATGCACTGACATGGATTCGACTAACTGATTAACATTTGGGAGGGGATAGTCATCTTTTGGACAAGCTTTGTTCAAATTCATGAAGTCCACACAGATACACCATTTCCCATTCTTTTTTTTGTTGCGTAGATAGTGTTAGATAGCCATTCAAGAAATTGCACCTCCCGGATGGCGTCAGCTTCTAGGAGGCGCTCCACCTCTTTGTTTACTACTTGGGCATAGTGTGGTGCCATACGCCAAGGCTTTTTTTTGACGGGCTTATGATTGGGGTCAACATAGAGCTTATAAGTTATAACATCAAGACTTATGCATTTTATCTCTGCGGCATCCCATGCAAATACGTCAACATTTTTCTGCAAGAAGTTTGCCATCTCTTTTAGCTCAGCCGAAGACATAGTCGAGCCGATTAGAAAATATATTTCCTCATTTCTCTCTCTTAGGACTACCTTCCAAAGGTCTTCCAAGGAGCGATCGAATGGGTCAATATGTAGCTCATCCATGCCCAACTGTCCAAACTGTATTTGCTATTTGTTCAGTACTTCCTCGAGGGCATGCTCTATTTCCTTAGACGTGACCCCCGCTTTCATAACCACATAAAAATAAATTTTTGAGGTGGCTTGGTCTCCACAGATTTCCATACCCCCTCCGAAGTGGGGAACTTCAATTTCTGGTGGTAAATGGAGTGCACTGCTCCCAGTGAGTGCAACCAAGTCTGCACCATGATTATGTTGTATGAAAAATTGGAATCGATCATTATGAACTCCGTATCGTTTATGATAGGTCCTGTGGTGACTGGTAGAGTGATCTTCCCCAGAGGTAGGGCGAATGATCCGATGAACTTGAACAAGGATGTCTTAATGGTGGTCAGGTCTTTGGACCTAAGGCCTATTCTCTTGAGCACCTCAATGTATATTACCTCCGAGGAGCTTCCCGAGTCCACTAGGACTCTCTTGACGTCAAAGTTTGAAATACGCAAAGTTGTGATCAAGGCATCATCAAGGGGGAGTGCTACACCGGCCAAATCAGTATTTGAGAAGGTGATGCCACCCTGATCCGTCCATGGCTTCTTACTTGTTTGACCCCTATCCTTCTCCTCCACCTTTCTAGCAAAGGCTACTCTCTTTAGGTCGGATCTGAGAGTGTTGGTTGTTGACTATTCTTGAGGGTAGATGTGGATAACGTCAATTACATTGTCATAGAAAACGGTATGGTTGACGATGACATTTGTCTCCCTTGGCGTCTCCTTCTCAATATACTCCTGGAGGTGTTCCTCTTGGACCAACTTCTCCAAGAAGGACTTGTACACTCCGTAATCGTCGCTAAGGTGCCCCATATTCTTGTGGTATAAACACCTGATTTTCTGACTCCTAGTGGACAGATCACCATACATCTTAGGTGGTTATTTAAAGAACGACTCCTTCTTAATATGTGCAACAACTTGTAGATAGGTTCCTTGAATATGGTGTGAATCCCCTTAAAGGAATTTTCTGATGCCAGGATCAAACCTTTTCTAGGAGGGACATCCTCTTTGTCCTTATCCTTTTTCTTAAGGGCTAAGTTTTTTCCTTTACTCTATGTCAACTCTTCTTCTATCCTTGAGAACTTGTTGATACGGGCCATTAACTCACTTATGTTCGTCGGTGTTTGTTTTGTTAATGATCTATATAGGTCCATGTCTCAGGACAAACAAAGCCAAAATTAGGCAGCCGCCATAACTTTGGAGCATCCTTCCATCTCATTCACCTCCTCCCTATAACGTGTGGCATACTGGCGGAACTTCTCTCCTTCCCTCCATCAAAGAGTCAGCAAGGATCTCACATCATTGGGACATTTTCTTCCTGT